CCCCGCAGAGACTCCCGCCAGCGCCCCGCACAGACCTGCACAGATCCGTGCAGACCCCGCCAGTGCCCTGCACAGAACCCTGCAGAGACCCCCGCAGATCCCGCCAGCACCTGGCACAGACCCCTGCAGACCCCGCCAGCACCCCACACAGACCTGCACAGATCCCCAGCAGAGACCCCACCAGCCCCCGGCACAGACCTGCACAGATCCCCGCAGACCCCGCCAATGCCCCGCACAGGTCCCTGCAGAGACCCCTACAGACCCCACCAGCACCCGGCAGACCTTCACAGATCCCCGAACAGACCCCCGAGGACCCCGCCAGCGCCCAGCACAGATCCCTGCAGAGACCCTCACAGACTCTGCTGGTACCCGGTACAGACCCCAGGCAGACCCCACAGCACCCGCACAAATCCCCGAACAGAACCCCTCCCCACCCCCCGAAGACCCCGCCAGCGCCCGGCACAGACCCCGCAGCACCCTGCAGTGCTCTGCAAGCCGCTCCGCAGACCCCTGCCGCGCTGGGCAGCAGACCACCGACCCGCAGATGACACCAGGGAGCAGATCGGTAGCTCGGGACAACAGTGAGGGGCAGCTGTCTGGGACTAGGAAGGACCAAGGACTCCCAGAGTTAGGTAAACGCATAAGTTGTTCAAGTTTGTAGGAATGAGCTGGTAAGTGCTTTCATTTGTTTGTTTGTTAAGGATGAACACATCTACAGATAAAACTTGCACAAAAGAATACAAGAAATCCTTAACTGGTTACCTGGAGGGAAAGGAATGGAAGCGCGTAGGGGAGGAGGATGAAGGAAGGATTTTTTTTTCCCTTCTCCAACCCATACTGTTTGAATATCCTTGATATAAATATGAATTTCTTTTCTGGCAATAAAATCAATGAATTATATGAAATTCACTAATGTACCCTTTGATCCAACTATTCTACTCTCAAAAGACTAAAGCAAAGAAGAAAACCAACGATGTATGAAAGCTAATATGCAAGCATATTCATGGAGCATCATTTTTTATTAGAAAAGTGTACTCTGCCGAAGAATTAAATTGTATTCTGATAAATCCATACATTGCAATTTTATGTGGCCAATAAAAATGTAGGATTTTAATTTTAAAGGTAAAAATTCATAAGATAGTTAATTATAAAAAGCAGGTTACCTACAAGCACAAAGAATATGATGCCCAAAATTAAATTTTCTATTTATACTTAGTAAGTATAAATAGAAATCAGTGGTTGCTTTGTTACATTAAGAAGCTACTGGCTTGGGATGGGGGATGTTTTAAACTCCCCAAGTCTTCAACAGTCTCTCCACAGACAGCCACGCCACAGTAAACATAAAAACTGAATGAAAACAGTGTTTGCTATGCACCTTTGAAACATATTCCCGAGCAGCCTCTACAGAAATTCTAGTGGCACCATTACAAGTGAATGTGGTACTACCCTTAGGTCAGAGGTTTTCACATCTGGTTACCCATTAGGATCACCTGGGGAGCTGTTAAACACTGTAGCTGTTTTGGAGCTTCCAAGGTGATACTAATGTCTGGTTAAGGTTTTGGAGGTGATTTAACACATTTTACGGACCCCATCCTCTCTCTCTTCAAAGGCCTCTATCTGCAATACAAGTGTCTCTGCGTCCTGGACCATTTATTTCCTTCAGATACCACATGCCCTCTGAGCTCCTCCAGCTACTACCCCTTTCCTCAGCACTCCCTCCTCCCATACTCCCCCAAAAGCTCTCTTGATTGAGTGGTCTTCTGTCACTAACTCGAAGGCCTGACTGCACATTCTCTCCCTCTACTATGCCATACAAGCTTCCATCCCGTCCACACCAAAGAAATTGCTGAGCAATTCCCTATGCAGCTAGGAAACTTGATCTTAATCTCACTTGATCTTTCAGTAACATTCAACATCCTCATTAAAAGAAACAATAACAAACAAAAACACAATCTTATTTTTGGTGACACTGCACCACCCTGATTTTCAACAGCCTCTTCTCCATCACCTTAGCTGGCTTTTGCTCTGTTCAACCTATAAAAGGTCAGAACTCAGTCATTAGACTTCTCCATCAACATCCACTCCCTAGGCGGCAATTTCAGCTAGTGGCATGGTTTAAATATCACCTAGATGCCAACAGCTCCCACATTTAAATCCCCTGCCACAGAACTTTCCACAGACGCTCAATCTCCTGTATCTGTCTGCTGAACAGCTGACTGCTCCACCTGGATATCTAATAGGAACTGAAAGCATTTAAAACAAATATTTAATTTTCCTTTTCGTCATTCTATAATTCTATATATTTCTATAAACAGCACCAGTTGTGGTAGCCAAAAATCTCACAGTTGTTCTTGAATCTTTTTTCCTTAATGTCACCATCTAATTCAGCAAATCCCGCTGACCATACTTCCAAGCCATCTCAAATCCATCCAATGTTTTCCCTCTTCATGACAATCCTAATTACCATGAATTCCCCTGGTCATTAGCCTATCCACTTGGATCACCTGCTTCCACTCCAAACTCTTCCCTCCCAATATTCTCTACATAATATCCAGGGTGATCTTTAAAGGTGAATAAGATGTCATGTTCCAGCTTGAATTACCTCCCATTTCTTACCCCAGTCGCACTTAAATATAAATATGGTACACATAAATATGTACCATAAACAAGTTAAAAGAAAAGGCATCAACATCCCTTGCTATGGAAGTGTTAAATACTGATGCTGTAAAATTTAACAATCTCTTCCTTCATATTTCTGCTTTTTATACCTTAAGAAATCCCTCCCCACACTGAAGTCATAAAGATACTCTAATAAACTGAAGTTTTTATGTTTAATTTTCTGTAGGTTTTGTGATAGGGATCTAATTTTTCTCCTGACATGTTTCTGTAGATGGGTAGGCCTGTTCCTAAACTCTCTAGTCTGGCCCATTTGTCTATCTCTGTATGTTAACACATCATAGTAATTATTATAGCTTTCAATATCTTGATATCTGAAAGGGCATCTGCCCTACCTTGCTTTTCAAAAGTGTCTTTGACTATTCTTAGCCCTCCACCTTCAAATGACTTTTAGAATTAGCTCGTCAAGTTTGATGAAATACACTATTGTGAGGGTGCCTAGCTGGCTCAGTCAGTGGAGCATGTGATTCTTGATCACTCAGGGTGTGAGTTCGAGCCCCATGTTGGGTATAGATATTACTTAAAAAAAAGAAAACCTGAAAAAAATATATCCTGTTGAAATTTCAATTTGATTTTAGGAGGTCTTTTTCCCTATTACTCAGCTAATCGGTTATTTTGGGGTTACAATGTGGTATAGCTTTTTTTTTTTTTAATAATTTCAGGTTTTATAGGAAAGTTGCAAAGGTAAAGATTCCTCACCCAGTTTCCCCTGATGTTAACATCTTACATAACCTTGGAACGTGTGAAAATGAAAAAATTAACATTAGTACAGAACTATTAATTAAACTACAGACTTTATTTGGATTTTACTGGTTTTCCTATAAATGTCTTTCTTCTGTTCCAGGATCCTATCCAGGACACATTGTTACTTCTCCTTAGGCAACTCTGGGCTGTGACGGCCTCTCAGTACTCCCTTGTTTTTCATGACTTTGGCAGTTTTGAGGTATTAGTTAGGTATTTTATAGATCGTCTCTCAATGAGTTTATCTAATATTTTCTCATGACTTGCCTTGGATTATGAGTTTTTGAGAAGAATTATCTGCTATTGCTTTTTTGATTTCTTATCCAGTGAATTTGCTTACCAGTCCTGTTAGCTCTAATACTTATTAGTTTGTCTACAGATTCTGTTTTTTTGGTAATGTCAGTATTTTTATTAATGACAATTTTTTACTCTGATATTCATAACTCATTCCATTATCATAACACATTGGCTAGGACCTCTGAGGTGGGGATACTTCTTACCTTTCACCATCAAGTAAAAATGTTCACAGGCTTTTTCGTAGAGCCATGTTATTGGGGTTTAAGGAAATTCCCTTAAGCTCTAGTTTTCTAAAAACTTTACCATAAATAAGTTTTAATTTCATATAATGACTTTTCTATATTTATTGGGAAGA